CTTGCATGGCCCCATCACCCTCGTGTCTGAGCACCTGACAATCATTAATGTCTTTATCCTCACTCACTCCCCTGGGAGGCAGGGCAGGGCCGGTGTCCCCATTGTACAGATGGTAAACTGAGGCACATAGAAGCTAAGAGACTAGCCCAAGGTCACACAGGAAGTCTGTGGCAGAGCAGGGACTTGAATCTAAGTCCGGCAATCTAACCACTGGGCTGTCCTTCCTATCCTTGCTCAGTAATTCCATAGCTTATTGGAGTAGAGACTGTCTTATATAGATACAGGGTAACATTTTCTAAGGGTCCTACGTGACTAAGGAGCACAAGTCCTGTTGACTTTCAATAGCATTTAGGCTCCCAAATCCCTTGGACACTTTTGAAAATGTTACGCACAACGCCCAGCACAATGGGGACATTATTCCTACTGGGGCTCTGGGCCTCACTGTAACTAACTCATCCTCATGACAATTAGTCAATTTCTAGTCAGTTTCACTTACTGGTTTTCAGGCACTAGAGTACGCAATGGGAAACTGTCAGGTTTAAATGGGGGGTGAGAACCATTTTCACTGAAATGAAGAAACCATCAAAAACTTTCTGTTCAGATTAGGCTTTGCAACCCTCCCTACTTTTAAAAAGAAACACCCCCCCACCACCACCACCAATTCAGGATCTAGTTTAAAGCAAGTGGCCCTTTAAATATCCCAAACCCAAGAGGTTATCAAATGTATAAACACATTAAATCTGTGGGATTCGGAGGAATTAAAGTTGCTTTACAAGGACATGGGAGTGTTTACAGAGCTGGTGACCCCGGGGGCTTAGCTGACGCATGGGAAATATTGCTGCTTTGCTTTTCTGCTCCGCTGGGGTGGAGTCCAATGTGCCTGTGCTCGCCGGCTGGGCACAGCCTGCGATCTTAAACCACTCCCTCATTGTCCTCCTCAACACTCTGCCAGGAGGCCTACCACAGTCAGGCTGCTGGTGTGCAGAGACCACGGCTTGTCCTGCCGACCAATACGGTCTCATTGTTTCCTGACACTCCCCTGACAATCTGCCTGTCTCCCTCTCTTATCTTAGGCTAGGTCTACACTACAGCGGACTTCCGACCTAAGATACGCAACTTCAGCTACGTGAATACCGTAGCTGAAGTTGCGTATTTTAGGTCGGCTTACCTGGCGGTGAGGACGCGGGAAAGTCGACCGCTACCGCACTGCCGCCGACTCCGCTACCGCCTCTTGTCGAGGTGGATTTCCGGAGTCGACGGTAGAGCCATCAGGGATCGATTTTACCGCGTCCTCACGAGACGCGGTAAGTCGATCCCCGATAAACCGATTGCTACCCGCCGGATCGGCGGGTAGTGAAGACGTAGCCTTATACTTAGATTGTAAACTGCTTGGGGCAGGAATCAGCCTGTTCTCGGTTTGAACAGCGCATGGCACAATGGGGTCCTGGTCCTGGGTGGCCAGTCACCCGGCCCTCCCCTTGTGCCCGAGACCCCGCCCCTCCCCTTCTACCCCCCCCTTCTACCTTCCCCTCCCGCGCAGGAGCCCAAAGCACCCCCAGCGCGGCCCCCTGGCCCCAGCGCTGGATGGCCGAGGGCGAGGCCCCAGCAGCCCCGGTGCGCCACAGCCTCAGCGCTCACAGCCCCGGGTGGCCCCCAGCCCCAGGGCTCCGGGCGTCTGGGCAATGCGGTCGCCGTGCCCCCGGCGGCCCCCAGTCCTGTCGTTCGGGCAGCCAGCCCCAGAGCACCGGGCAGGCAGCCCAGCCCAGCACCAGCCGCCCTGGCAGCCCCCAGTCCCTGCAGGAGACAGGCTGGCCTGGGGGCGGGGCCACGGTAGGCAATTTGGGGAGGCACAGCCTCCCCTTGCCTAAGGTACCCGCCGCCCATAGTGCTGATCCATGACTGGGTCTCCTTGGCACTACGGTAATACAAATAATAACTCACCCTTAGACCAAGCCCTTTCTCTAGCCAGCTATAGATTTTTACGCAGTGTATATCACTGGCACTTAAGCACTGCTTTCTCGCCACTTCCACCGGCCAGTACAATCTGTGGCATGTAGTGCAGGGCAGCGGGGTCTGGGGCTTGCCCCGCTCCGGAGCTCCAGCCGGGGCACAGGGTCAAGGGCGGCACCACACGGCTCCTGGAAGCAGCGGCATGGCCCTGCTCAGGCTCCTACACACTCCAATGGCCCCCTCTGGCACTCCAAAAGAAGGGACATGCCGCTGCTTCTGGAAGCCGCTTGAGGTAAGCACCGCCCAGAGCCGGCACCCCTGAGCCTCTCCCTGTGCCCCAAACCCTGCCCTAGCTCTGATCCCCCTCCCGCCCTCCAAACCCCTCAGTCCCAGCCCAGAGCACCCTCCTGCACCCCTAACCCCTCATCCCCAG